TCTTCGTTGGAACGTTCATGCTATAGTGTCTGTCGTTGTTCTATTGCCACAGCAATCTACGATCGACGCCGTTGTCATGATGGCTACGCATATGCATACTAGTTCTCTTTCACAGGGGCGAGGGAGACCATGCTGCTGTTGATGCCTGCTGCGAGAAGGAACTGAGTACAAAGGTGGGAAGAAACGTCGCCTGGCGTGATGAAACAAAGAAGATAAGCCGCGTGGCCTGTCAAGGCTCTACGTAGGCAGCAGCTGCTGCTGTGATTACCAGCAGCAGTCCTTTTCAAGGATGCTGATCAGCTGGTCGAACTAGAAAGCATTCGCTGTGATTACCAGCAGCAGTCCTCTTCAAGGAAGCTGATGAGCTTGTCGAACCAGAAAGCTTCGAGCGTTCTGGCGACCGATCCACATTACCCTCGTGGTTTTTCTCCATCCCTTATCGTGTCGTTCACCGAAGTATGAAACGATGTCCATGTATATGCATCTAGACCGCAACGCAGACGCAACACGGCGGTAGCCTATGCATACAACAGCAGTAGGGCTTGCTTGTGGGCACACGCGCAAGATGAGACACCCGCGACTTGGACTGCTGTCACGCATGCCACCTCCCAAAACACTTTCATTCAGCGCTGTCTCGACACACCCTGCTTCGTGAAAAACTATTCCACCAATCAGCATTCGCCTGAGGTCTCACGGTGAAGCGGCCATGGGGAACTCACGGGACCTCCTCTCCGTAGGCAGGGGAAGAGCATGCCGGATCATTCTACTTGGTCTCGTGGAGCGTATCATGTGTGTGCATGCACCACACGCGCAACTTGCCGAAACATTGGATAGTTATTGACGGACAACATCAGTATACTGCTGTTCCACGCCCCCACTCGAACACCTGCCAGGCCTCATGCGCTGGCCATTGCAATACATGGTGCTGCCTGTAAAGCCTCTGGGAGTGCACACAAGCATACCGGCGGCAACACAACGGCAGTCTGGGTAGCTACATGCACTCGAACTTCAATTATGTTTACGTAATCGAGTTCGTTGCACTACTCGGAACGCACCTTGTGAACAGGGTCGGGCCGCCTGCAAAGAAACCGGTGGAGGGAGAGGCAAGAGCTACGCATATCGACAGCGTCAGACCGGGCGACCTCATCTTGGGCGGTAGTCCCCGACACTAGCTCCGGGTCTGCTGCTGATGGTGGACAACATCACACACACCTGGGGGCACATCAGCTAGGAATATTGAGGCTCCCATAGGAGAAATCGCGGAGCTGCCGAAGTCGGCCCGACTCAAGATGTGACTGAAGAATCTCGCCGCATATCTGATACGTTTGGCATGAAAGAGGAGAAGGAGGGGGGGAGATGGAAAGAGAGCGCCAAGGACCAGGAGGCGTGGTACGACAAGATCGAGGACGGGGCGGCATGGTTCATGAGGAAATAGCACAGACAGGAGGCGGAAGCATCCGCGAAGCGCCAGCGCCAGCGCGCGGAGGAAGCAGAGACGGAGAGCACGGCCGCCCCGGGCCCGAAGAGAAAGAGAATCGGGGAAGCGGC